CCTTAACTCCAATACTGATGATGGGTACATTTTACTTCAGTTTTTCTTTATCCCTTTTACAATGGAAATGTTTCTCTTTTTTACAGAAGAGCTCTATTACCTTTATCAGAAAACACAAAAAAAAAGCCAAACGTTGTTCTTTTTAGTGCAACTAAAGCATGCAAAGATACCACCTGAAGAACTGGTCCAGTTATATGTAGCCTGCATCAAGTTTGTTTTATTCTTTGGCTGCCAGGTTTTTCTTTTCAGACTGCCACAATATTGAAGCTTAACTTTTGAATGGAAACAGTAACATGCTCTGATGATAATTTGGTCATGAAGTGCTCTACTCAGATGGCCTGTCATGTCCATGCATTGTCGCTCAGAGCAAAGAAGGACAGAGCTGTGTAACAAACTTTTTAAACAAAATCCCATGAGAATCCCATTTATGTTTTGCACCCTCTCAAACCACTCAAAGAGGGACCCTCTAAGGACCTAAGGAACTCTACATGTATGTTATACCATGTAAAGTCAAGTAGTGTAAGATTTTATATTTTTGTAGTTATAGGATTCGTATACTTAGCATGCAAGTATTTTGTAATTGTCTTTCATAACTTTTTTCTATACATAGTAAACATTAGCAGTTCAGTCCATACTGCTAGTAAGATTTTCAATAAGCTATTCAACTTCCAACGCTACATCTACTTCTAATTTCAATTGTTTTTTATCTCCCATCGTACCAGTTGCATTGAGGAAGATCCAAATATTGATAGTCAAATCACTGGAATAGAGGAAGAAGACAGCGATAATGACTTTAAATTGCCTCCACCGCTTCCTCCACTGTCACCCCTTGCGGGTGAAAATGATGGAAGTGATCAGAAAGCATCCTTTCAAGCAGGTACTGTCCAGGCCACTTTTTTTGGCCGCCTTGCAAAACAGCCATACATTTTCTTTAATCCCCCCCCCCCAAAAAAAAAACCCTTTTTTGTATGGTCACCTGTTAATACAGCCAAATTTGAAGGGGGGGGGGGGGGGGCATTGGTGACCGTATTAACAGGGTTCCACTATATAAGTAACTTTGATGGTCCATGAAAAGAACATTTGTTACTTAAATAACAGAGCACTGGTAAAATCTATAAGCTGCTGATGTCAGTAAGACGCAATTTTAATGATTTTCGCAGAAAAGGACAAAATGCAAAGTGCATTTTTACTCTTGTTAATTCAAAAGCTGTACTAGGGTGTAACTTGTCAGTATGAGAGCAATTGCACATAAGTGAACAAGATTTCAATGGGAATTTCAAAAAAGGCATGTTGTTTTGGCTATTATTTAATTTTAAAACCCATTGTAGATATTCTATCTGATGAGCTTGCTGTCATAATAGCCCCTGTCACAATTGTGGGTAATCTGTCTTTCTGTATAGCCTTCGCCTCAGAAAACGAGGAAGAGCATATGCTGAAGGAGCTTCTCAGACCTCTCTCTGAAGCAGATTATGATGTAAGTTATGCTAATTATGTTAACATTACTGCAGTAGAAAACATGTCGGTACAGTTTTGGTCCGCTTAGTAAGACATGTCTACTCCAAAAACGGCTGCTACTTAGTGCAGTAAAAGCAATGGTCACTTTCCACGTATGCTGTGATCGTTGGTGTCTGTCCAGTTGTGGCTCAGTGAGCCCAGAGAACACTATTTTAAGTTTTTTTGTAATAAACAGCATGCATTCTTTAAAGGATACCCAGTTTTGACTTTGTTATTTCCTATTTTTTGTGCCTGTGCTTAAAAAAGATTTAAAGCTGTCTGTTAACCATCAGTTTATTGCTCCATCGTTCTATAATCAGATAACTCAGCTGATCTTTATAACAGATATATTTAGACCAAAGAGAAAATGTACAACGTTTTTTGCCCGCACGCTTTGTTTGTCTGAGGTCAGTCGTTTTCTGTCAAATTTTTGACAGCTCGCGCAAGGCTGCCAGGTAATTGGAGAGGGGCCGGGAAACGGTTTTCCGGGGCCTTCCGTGCAGGTGCTCCCTCTCCCCTCGCGTGTCACCGTCTCGTGGCCACTACTTCCAAGCACATGCTATGCAGGCAAATTCCTTTTCAAACTAGTTACCTTGCCATTAAATAATTTTGTACTTTAACCCTTTAAGTCCCAATATCCACATACAAATTCTCCAAACTGATCTCTATATATTTCCTTAAAGAATGAGTTGAGAGAATTTGATAAAGGATCAAGCAATTTTCTCTTAGGTGATCCTTTTATTAATTCTCATAACCTAGTCTCTTGACAATGTATGGGTATCATTGGGAGAAAATTGATGTTGGTCACTACTGGGACTTAAAGGACTTAATTATTGTTCAATTTATCTTTTACAAAAACCTACCAGAATGTAACTTTTTTTGCGTACTCATCATATTCAAGCAGAATAATGCAATCAAGGTTGTTTTTGCTTCCCATGCACCACTCAACATTGCTCCTGGTTGCTAAAAGATGCAAAATAATGATTTTGTTCCACCATATATAAAATGTGTCATATTTTGTTTCCTTGCTTCGTACCTCCTTCTGTGAATTTTATGTGTGACTTAAGTAACATTTCAGTTGACTGTGTTTTTTGCTACTTTCTAGGCTGAAATGTTGTCGCTACGTTTTGAACCAGCTCAGATTGTTGCAATGGGCATTAATCACATTGTGGAGCGTTACTGTTTTGAAATGGAAAGGAATTATGGTGTGGTGTTCCCCAAAGGAGACCAACATATTGGGTTCACAAGAAAGCAAATGGATGAATTTGATCATTTCCGCGAAGCACTAGGTTTTATGTCTAGGGCACGTTACGATTTTGTTAGGTTTGATTTGGCTTTAAAAACATGGTTGAAAGACTGCCCGGAAGTTTAGTGGCAGACGGTAGAGGACTATGTTGACTGTGATGGTTGGGTCAAACTTACCCCTCGCGAATTGTCCTTGTTTTTAGATTGGAAAGAATATAAATGGCACTTATTGAACGCGGATGACAAATTGTAACGTTTCATTTTAACAATAATCTTAGCATTAAACGTGATTTGGGCTGAATCCTGGTTGTCCCACCAAATGGGAAACTGGTTGAGAAGAGCAGCCACGACATTACATGGGTAACTGGGTTTATCCTGTGGATATGTGGGTTATGCTGTCTCCTGACGAAACCTTACTTGTCAGTCAGTTGAGAGTTCCAGCAGACACTATCCATCCCAATGATATCCTGGCTACAATGAGTCGAGCTGGTAACTCGATGAAACCCCCTGGTTTGGTCTTAAGTGCATAACATGTCTGGCGTTGTTTTAAACTAACGTAATATGGGCAGATAGGAATTTTTCAAATCTTGAGTTACGCACTTTTGACAACAGGATAATACTGCCATTTTGGGCAGGGGGACCAGGAAACCACAATTATTGCTAGCCAAAGAAAAGAACCATTTCCTCTCAATGCCACTTCTACTGTTCCGGGAAAATGACGTCTCAAGAATTGTGACAGAAATTGTATAATGCTGAAACCGTATGGAATTGGTCTATCACTTCTTCAGACATTATATTGCAGCTTTGGTGGCATTGAAAAATGTGGGCTGTTTTCTGAAGCTAGTGATAAGATTTTTTTCACATACTTATTTATTCATAATAAAATACGCTCAATAAACCTCTAGTAACATGTTATTTGTAGTAATTTTGAAACAAAGTTTAAGAACATATGAAGAACATCTTTAGGCTGATCTATCACTAACCACCTGATGAATAAGAACTAGATCAGCCTTAACCCCGAAATCATGTGTTCTTATACGCGGGTGTGTACTGTATATAAATATTATTGTATGAAATCAAGGAGAAAAATGAACAATGTGTATACATTTTCATGTAATGTTTTTGCTTATATATTTGGTATGTCCCTGTAGACAACAAAGAAAGCACAGGTTAGTGGTATGTGCAAAAAAGGTTGAAACCAAAAAAAACAGTGTGTGCCTAAATCATTCTTTTCTTCCTTGTTCGTTCAATCTTCCATAGACTCTAAAGACCTTTGGTCTAACGTAGACCATAGTTCTAGAAAGTGTGGCTACCATCATTTATTGAGGAACTCTTGTTGACAGTGCTTACGGCAGTTAGATGATTGACAAGAGTTAAAAAGCATGACCTCCCTTCCCTCTCATTTCAAGTAAGTTATAGTAATTGTTCAGTTTATCATTTTCTGTATTTGATTCGTTGCAGGTCCTATCACCATCGAGGGATGACTTTTCACACGCAGGGGGAGAATTACAATAATATCAGAAAGCAATTTGGTATAACATTCTCACAAAGTAGTTATTAACCGTTTTCATGTTGCCATGTTTCCTGTTTTTAGGCTTAAATGTAAGACTGATACTTTTATGCTAGAACATTGTTTTTCTGTACAAGATTGCAAGAACTTTTTTTTATTTGAAATGACACATTATACCCTCGACAATGTAACAAGGGTTCCTCATCATAACAACATACAGTGCCGGGAGTTAGGATTGGAGAACGCCATTCACTTCACCTCAACTTTGCAACACATTGAATAACAGCCTCTTGGTCAAACAAGCTATCAGCTATTTTACTGTTACCGGTGTTTCAAAAGAAGTATAATTGTTGGCATTGATCATCTTCGATCTACGTTCGGCTAAGTGCTTTTTGCACGGCCTATGCTATATTTTCTTTGAATACAATTGTCATCGGCGCAACTTCTGATTATCTAGGTGTTGCTTTGTAACAATTGCACATTTGATTCACCACAACCTTTGAAATTAAATGTCATGTTTTATGGCACATTTAATTCGCCATGATTTGGTCTTGTTGTAAGCCTTCTTGTGATGTGGTTTAACCGATCTTAATTAATGAAGGTTCACGCGGTGTCTAGTTTGAATATAACTGGTTCTTCTGCATATGGCCTCTGTGGTTAATTATTAGCTAAGAACGTCCTTGACATTATTAGACACCTTTTTATCATGAATGAAAAGCTTTAAAAAAAATATCTTTCGCATACTAATTAAGTGCTTCGTCATTCCAGGCGGGCTGGGGTATGCAAGTATCCCCTTGAATGGAAGTTCCAGGGGGGGTGGGGGGTCTAAAGCAAAAAGTGCCCTCCATGGTGGGTATTAATATTTTTCGAACGACACATTTAGCTCTATTGACTATTTTCCAATTGCCCATAATACACTCTGTTTGCCCCCCAAATTTTGCATAACTTATTGTCTTAAAATACTCTTGGGAAAATGCAATACTCCCAGGAGCAAAAACAATGGTTTATGCAAAATTTGGGGGGCAAACAGAGTGTATTCTGGGCAATTGGAAAATAGAGAATAGTACATACACAACAGTTAAGGCAAATAGATATGTTTATTGTAACAGTTAATTTCGGCCCACGTTCCATGCCATGAACAGGCGGTTGCTGTATGTGGTTGAATTCGATGTTTGACTTTGTAGTCGCTTAGTCATCTTTGCGGACGTTTGCTTCTTTGGGCGTCGTAGATGCGGGGAGGGACACACCATGTAATGGTGGCCTTTCCCCCCGCAATTAAAACATTTCCCTGAAAAACGAAAATCGATATTAATTACTTCAATAGTATTTGCTGTAACAAACTCTAATTTTATTTCCTTGGTAAATCAAACGAGCCTTGTCTTAAGAATTATGAGATTTCAATGAGACCTATTTTCTTGACCTTTCCATGTAGACTTATCATGCTACAAAAGTTTTACTTTGTCCTTGGCGGCGGCGATTAGCGCGTCGTAGCCCAATTAAAGTGATACCGGCTGCACAGACACAGTTTGGCACACACGTGTATCATAGGTTACCCTGTTTGTTCGATTACACGCCGCTGTGTTGTCATCCTAAAGAAAGTACTCTAAAACACAACAGTTTGCTTACGTTTACGGTTAATGATCTTAGAGGAACCGGGTACTTGGGTTTCTGAAAAAAAAGGAGAATAATAGATAGGAATAAATAATTAGAACATGCAATAACAACAACAACTTTATTGACTTTATCTTCGACTTGTAGACTTCAGTACCAAAACAATCAATATAATTACAAATGAAAGATAGTAGAATAAATGTTAAGTAAGAAAGAAAGGAACAACAACTATATATTGAATAGTAACATGAAAAAAGAGAAAAAAAGGGGGATAAGGCGTGGTAAGTACTAGCACAATCTGATCGACTCAATTTTTTTGGCCTAACCCTCTATATGCAGTGGCGGGTCCAGACCTTCAGATAGGGAGGGGGCGGTCATCTACATCCTGAGATAAAAAAAAGAAAATTTTCGCCCTTTCGGGCCTCAGTTTGGTCTAAACATAAGGGTGGGTCTGCCCCCCCCCCCCACCAGGTCCCTCCCCGGATACGCCACTGACATGCCACAAGTAATTTGAATTATCTTACCTCTAACTGGCGGGTTTCTCCCGTCATCGCGGTTTGTTTGAGGCCCGATTCTTCCACCTGCTCCGTTTGTCGAATGCCTGTCAATGATGAAAGAAAAATAAGTAAGCCTAGGTCTTACAGAACAGTCTCTTGACCAAATACATCTTATATGGATTCGATAAATTGCGTCTGAAAATAATATATTAAGGTTTTCTTTTCTAACTCCCTCCCACATATAATTTTAGTTCTTTAGTAATAAATTTTACTTCTATCACCTTGATGTGAATTCCTGCCGTTATCCCCGGTTCTTCCACCTCCTCCGTTTGAATGCCTGTCTGTGATGAAAGAAAAATAAGTAAGCCACTCAATAAATTTACTTACTGGGTACACTGTTGAGTTTTACAGAAAAGTCGTATTTTTGGACCATTTGGTTATGAAAATGGAAAGTCGCTTCTCAAAAATCCCTCCCATAGACAATTTAATTTGTTTAGTACTTAATATTACCTCTATCATCTTGATGTAAATTCCATTCCCGGCGGGTGTCTCTTTCGGACGAGCTGTCTGACCTAGGCATCTAAAAGAATTGGAAACGTTCAGTAGATGAAAAGGATGATGCCAGTTACCGTATCGTTCCCTTTATGACTTTCCAATCCAACTGTAAGTGTTCTCATATGACTGATATGAAAAATTATACCCGCAGTCGTTTAACTGTTCTCTTTATAAAAATCGTCTAATAATGTTAACCATGTTCTACCCGCTGGAAAGTTTCGCAGTGTAGAATACGTAAAATTGAGTAACGTATTTCTTCACAAGTGTGGGCGCAAATCCCGTTGGATTCATCAACCAATTAATAAACCCAAAGAAGTTACTCTCATCTCTCATTTATAATTGTAGAGCTTAATGGCGCCAAAAGATCGTTAACAATAGACAAATTCCGATATATTAAAATTCACACTTGGCTGTAAGGCTTGGATGAATAAAACAATAACAAAAAATCATCTTGAGGCCCAGCAACGAGTACTACGTTGCTTTTAATTTATTTCGCCACGCCTCGGAACCAAGCATGAATTTTATACAGGAAATGGTACTGTACAAGTTAATAAATGGATACTACTTACGGTCTTCGAAGGCAAGTGC